AATATGTTAAATGAAACATAAGATGGTTTTAATAGTTTAAGATATATTCTATGAATTTTCAAAATTTAGGTGTAAAACATTTATATAAGTATTTGTAAAATATATTAGGTATTTACAGTCATAATATAGAAACTGAAGTAAAATATTTACTTTATAAGCAATACTCTTGTTAGCAATAATAAAAGGAATTTCATAGAAAAAAAATGGATAAACTCTTTATAAAATTGTAACTTTTTAATTATTATATTTAACATTTTAGTTAAATAACATGCATTTGTTTAAATTGTCTTCTTGTCTTAAATAGCAATGATCATGCATAAATTATATGTATAGCTTAATTATAAAAATGTTATACTTACAAGTGATTGACGTAGTTATTGTGTCAGGTATATACAAATTTTCTTCGGAAAGGCCTCGCATTAAATCTTCAAGGTTATATTCTTCTGCAGAAGCCAATGCTTTTACATTCCATTTCTGTAAATGAATATTGTTAATTTCAAAAATAAAGCAATTATTTAACTTCTTTTATGAGATAAATAAATTTTATGTAATTCCTTAATTACTTACTCCAATAGTTTCTCCATCTTTTGAGAAAGGCCTTTTCTTGGGTCTTTTCTTCAATTGAAGAGAAGAATAAGCAATGTCAGTAGTATTTTTAATAACTTTGGTGTTAGATTCATTTATCTTACACTCACTTAGTAATTTATTACTAACATGTAACAAATTACAGTTTAAATTCAATTTTGTAACTCGTATGGGTTTTATCATGAATTTATTACATGGTATTAAAGCAGTTGAAAATTTTCTACAATTATTAATGTTGCTTTTCCAGTGCAATAAAATGCATCTTTGAATTGCCGAGAAATTCATCTCATTTAATATTACATTTGACCAATTTGTATGCAAGTATTAATTACAAAAAGATGTTGCAAGTAAATATTTATATATTCAAAACATATATGTATCTTCTATCAATGAATTTTTGTATTCTATACACAAATCTCGATCATAACAAGACATATAGATAAGTAAGTCTTTCAGAAAAAGTGGATTGTTTGCAATGCTATTGGGCTGCCGTAAAACTAGATATGACAGAGGGAAACGTGAATTTTATTTGAATTTGTATAGAGATTCAAGAGTTATAGCACAGCACAGACGAGGTATAGGATAGATGTAACATGTAATGTAAAATTTTGTCACACATTCTTAGGAGTAGTAGCACCCCTTACCATTTTCATGTCACGCTCTGTCATACCGACTAAGGCTGGTTTTGCATGATAGCGCTATAGTGAATGAGAATCAAAAATATTCAAATTTTAAATGATAATCAGTATAGTGTTGTCAATATAAAAAATTCTTTATTCGTTGAATTAACTGTCGCGACGTGATGTTTTAGCAGTAAAATAATGTAATAACTTAGAACAATGATTGACAGAAATTCTGACACAGTTGAACAAAACGGAGAATAATTTTAACATTGTTCACTTGTAATTATAGACACAATATAGAACAATCAAATAAACGATATCAGTACATAACATATAAACGGATTTCAGTAGTCTAGTTTTTACAAAAAATAAAAAATTTAGAACAGGCTTGATTGTTTGCATTTATTTAAAAATATCAGAAAGAATTCGTAAATATATATTTTTAATAATAATATTATCAGATATTAAAATTTTATGTGTAAAATAATATGAATAAATTTTTCATAATTAAAGAAGACTTGTATTTTGATATTTGAATGAATTCTGTATATGTGAATGAAAAAACTGTGATCTTGATCACATTTACTATTAAAAGCTTATTGAAGTTACAAATTGAATAATAAGTTATTGGTAAACAATAACCTGTTAGGAATGAATAAAATATTTAGTACGTATTTTCATACAAAAGAGAAATAAAAATGTTTCGTGTCCATGTAGCAAATTGTTAACAATATATTGTGAAACGGATGAAGCTCAAATTTTTCTACATTTTCAGAATATGTGTGAAATATACATGAGTCCATTCAAAGCAATTTAAATATTTTAAAAGTAAAACTTCGGTACGTCGATTGTGTATAAGAAACAAAGAATGTCGTCAAGATTAACAAATAAAAAACGTATACAGGTTTTTCGACCTCTAATGACAAGCTATCAAGCTGTCATGTAAACTGGCATAGTGTATGCAGATGTGGATAAAATTCACTTTAGTGGAACCTGCGGCTTTTGCAAATGAATATTTGCAAATGAATAAATTCACCGATGGGTCGATCTGCCAGGTCCACACGACCAAGAAGGGGGAGGTTTTCTCACTGCTTACGAAAAGTATCTTTCCCATACCACTGTTTTCCAAATTTCTTTTTTAATTGAACATTCATAGAACTGCTACATACACAGCCTTGGACAGCTCCTTGTATGGAGGTAGTGGGGCAATGTTAATTTCTAGTTACTAACGTAAGGAGAGTAAGTTACTCTGCGTTGTCACGAGACCCTGAAAGGAATGCGGGTCTCATTGGCCAGCTTTCATCTTTTCTCATCTCATTTTCAATACTAATCATACAACATTCTATATATACCTACTTTATATGCTTTCGAAAATCCCTAAAAAAATTAATGAGTGTATTCATATCTGACGTTTCAGTCACTAGCAAGCATCGAAGAAAGGAATGTTTATCTCATTTCATGAAATTTTTAAGTGATGCACTTTTATGTATCATAAATGGTATTTATATATGCAGTGACAAATGTGAAATTTTTTTTTTTTATTTTAGAAAAGCTTCTTTAAACGATAATAAATAATAAATGAACAATTTTTATGAGAATGTAAATGTTATTCTTATGTATGCATAAGATGCGTAAAATGTAAGTAAACCACAAAATGTAACAAAATGTATGAATATACTATAATGGTTATAAATTGCTAATCTTATGAATTGCTTAGTTTAATTTGTTTCATGTTTTTATTATATCTAGAAGTCACAAATTATGTATTAACATTTAATCTTTTCTGCAGAATATTGTAGTATGTTTTAAGAAAATACTAATAAAATGGATGAAAGAACAGTGGTAGGAGGTATCCCACTTGAATGTCTAACTGGGGAACCAGCAGCAATTTGGTCTGGTTGGCGTACATTAGGAGACAGAGAATTGGTTAGAGAAGCATCTGCGAAAGGCACTCATATAAATCTTGCACATAAATGTATAGCCTATAGACGAAATTATTCTATTTCGAATGCTCAGGATTATTTTAATAAAGAAGTGGAAGTATGGATTACAGAGCTCTTAAATAAGCATCAAATTTATAGAGCTTCTCATATTTTAAAAAACATGGTACATTAAGTTCAAATTATAAATTTATAACACTTGTTATTTTTAATTGTAACATGTCTTTTTTTATGGTAGAAAAGAAATCCAGAGGAATATATACTTGATGTTTGTATAAATTGCAAAGATTCAGCTTTGAGGAATTATTTGTCAGAATATCTAATAAATATTTCACACTTTAAAACCGAGCATTTGGATTCATGGAATATAATAAAATGTATTATACAATTTGAACAGAAATATATGTAAGTTCCTTTATAAATATTAGTTTCAGTTATATATGAAACTAATGAATAAGTTTTTTTAGGATACCAGATGGCTTAAGCTCATCATTATGTATAGAAAATATTATAAAATTGCCAGAAAATATAAAACAAGCATTATGTACAGAACTGTATTTTTCTGTAAATGAACATAATCTTTTAAAACATGTAAATAGTATTGTGTTATGGGATTATTTGTTGGCAAATAATAAACTTGAAATTATTAAATTTTGGATTGATACACATTACTGTGGTAATGAAATTGAACAGTCAAATGAGATTACTCAAGAACAGAGATCTTTATTTGCTACTCTGAATATTGTAACTGACATGTATGAAAATATTGATTCTTCAAATGCAAGTAATCTTGTGAAAGATTTGATTAAGAATCATCTTTGTAGGTGTGTATTTTTTTTACAGTAAACTGATTTATAGATATCAAATATATGTCTACCTATATGTTTGTTTTTTAATCATTTGTATAAATGTACCAGGTATGGAATATTTATACACAAAGAAAAGCAAGATATAAAATTAATGCTAGCGCGCATCTTTGGCAGTGCAATGACACTATCACAATTTAATACAGTACTCTCGCATAAAACATGTAATATTAATAAGACTGAATTTTTTAAAACTGTTGATAAGGAATTGTGTTTTGCTCGTTGCTTAAATGAAATTCACACTCAATTGGATAAAAATAAGATAGTAAAACTCTTTGATGTATTAACAAAAATGTGTAATAGTGAAGAACAATTTGAAGACACTTTGATAGAAGGCCTGTTTGAAACAATTTATTATCTTACGGATGATGTAAATGAATTTTTGAAACACAATTATTTAATAGTTTTAATACTGATATTTTCACATTTATCTAGAGAAAATGTAACAAACAATCGTAGCATAAAAATTGAAATGAATAAAAATGTACTTGAAAATATATTTATAAGTAAAGACAATTTACAACTAGGCACTTATAACATTTCCAATGAAGTTCTGCAAAGTACATTAAAGCATATGCCAATTTTTCAATACATTCTTGAAAATAAATCCAAAAACGAAATCACAATATATGAATTATTAGATGATTACAAAAATTTAAATGTGAAGCAATTATTTAAGTGGCGCTTTAATAATGAACCAATGCCTCATTTCTCTAATGAAACACTTGTTAAAAAGTATGGACATTCAGAAGCATTAACATATGAATATTATTTAAAAGAAGCTCGTCCAAACATGGCAGTACTTAGCTTGAAACATTCTCAAGGAAAACTAGTAAACAGTATATCTTCTACAAGGTAAAAGTGATCATATTGTAATACTTTCATGATTTCAAAAATATTTACTTAAGATAGTTTAATTTTAGAAAATGCAAAGCAAGTCTTTATGCGCACATTCTTGCGTTACGGAATGTAGATAAACCAGAAGTAGTTTGCAGTTGCATTTCTTTTATTGAAATGCTAGGCGTTAATTCAGAAAATTTAAGACTTCATGTAACAGCAGCAAACTATGTACAAAAAGAGATCAACGTATCTATCGGTAATGTCATTCATTCTTTTTTCAAAAAATGCAAAGTACTTACGTATATTTTTTAAGTATCTTATTCTTTAAATTATAGGAAATTTATTGGAGAATGTAATATACAAAAATGAAAATGATCTAAATACTGTAATGTCCTATCTTGAAAATAGCTTTAAGAAGAACATCCGTGAAAATTTAGTTGAAAATAGCCAACAGTTTGTAAACATTTTAAAAATATGGGATGTGATTGTACGATTTGCGAAAATTCACAATTTTTCTTTACCAACGTGTTTATTAAAATCTTTAGCAAGACAGAATCAGTGGTTTGAATTTCTTTTAGTTTGCCAGACTTTCTCTTATCCTTTGAACCAGGTACTAATTTTATATTTCACTTACCTTAAATACTGTATTTAAAGAAATAAGAATATATTATTATTTTAGGTACTAGATAATGCCAAATATTTTGAAGACATGATTATAAAGGAACACCTGTTAACTTGTTTAAACAATGCTCAACTTATAAAATCACAATCAGCTATTCACAGCGATCAAAAAATAAAGTCACGAGACGTTAGACAATCATTATATTACAAAATTGGGGTTAAGCAAAGTGTAAGTGACAAGCATTACTTGCACATAATAAATAGAGAATTTCAAAAATTACAGTGCACTTTTATGACACAGGGATCTGCAATTTCTGGTTCATTAACATCTACAGATTCTACAAGTACCTCTGATTCTTGTAGCACATATGAATATCCGATACATGATAGTGTTTGTACATTGGATGATGATTTATGGTTGATTATTCTGAAATGTCATCAAAGTCCAGATCCTCCTGGTGCACTGATAAACGCATCGTATCTGACATCAAGATCATTCCTTACAGTTCTAGCAACTTGTTATGAAGTACTTTGCCCTTTTTTACTCACGTTCATAATATATCTATACATATTTACTTTATTAACTTTACTAATAAAAATCTCTATTAGCCATCATCAACAGCAGCATATTCTTACTCATGGATGATAATATCAACGGCTGATAAAAGTATTATTTCTGATTATAAAAGCTGTTTAGAACAACAAATATGGTCAGCAAATCAAGTTTTTAATTTATTGGATAAAATGGTGATACATGGATTCATTAGTACTCTCAACAGAGCTTACAAAATATTTATGCCTGTATGTATATCTTATATATTACCATAACATTATAAAATACTTAATTTTATTATGTTGTAGGAAAGTGTCTTCAATGCATTTTTTGAATTTCTGGAACAGTGTACACTTTATGGAGAATTTCAAGAATCTCAACAATATTTATTAAAATTCAAAACTCAGTGTTTAAATCTCAAATGCAATGTACGTTTTAAATACAATTAAAATATTTCATTTAGATATTTTTATAAAATAACAAGGTATTGAAATTACAGAGGGTGATAGATTGGAATTGTTCAGATGACTCATACTTAAACAATTTATATTGGGTTACAATTGTCGCTGTTAAGTGTATTATTGCAACACTTGCATACGGTCTTAGGAGCACATATTTACAAATTAAATTTCTTGAGACATTGATAAAATGTAATTTTTCTGCAGATTGTCAAGGTGCTGTAAACTTATGAACATTAATATATAAATAACTTCGGTTTTTCGTGACAGGAAACATCCAATTCGTAATGAATTTTTCATAAATTACAGTTTACGTTCCAAATTTTCACCGATTTTTAGAAATTATAAAAATTCTTCAAAAGACAAACATTATATTTAATTTCGCGAATTTTACGATGTCAGATGATTTATACAATTTTAATACGGAAATTCGGAAGTGCATTGATGATTTATTGAGAATGACAAATTATGATAGTGCGTTAGAATTATCAAACGCTGCAGGTCTAAATTCATCAGGTATAATATTAGCTCAGGTACGATATTACAACTACTTAACTGATATTTATAATATCATGTTTTTAATAAAATAATATTTCTAGTATCGAAATAAATTTAAACATTATATAGAAAAGAAGGACAAAATTGAAAGTGAATTTTGGATTAAATGTGCGCAAAATTTTGAGAAATACAAAGTTTCACCTGAAAAAATGGTTGAATTTTTTATTAAGTGTGCTGAGAAAGTTGCTTCTCATCAAGAAAGGTAAATCTTTTAAATAGCTCAAAACTTCTTACAAGTATTGAACAACCAATAAATATATTTTACAGATATGAAATATTACGTTTAGCTTTTGAGATATTAAAAAATGTTCAAATAGAACAACAGACTATTGACACATTAGAAATGGCAATGTGGAAATCGTGTATATTAGCAGATCCCGAAAACATACAATTGGGAAGTGGACCTTACATTTTCAATAAATTGAAAACAGAATTATTATCAGGACTAGATGAATTGAAATTTAGTTGTGCATTAAATGAACCATCTGAAAAGAATGCTGCTGAGAAATTAATTAATAAACTAATCGATTTAAATAGATTAGACACTGCATTAAGAATTAGTACCATTTTTAATTACAAGCATAAGGTTTGTTATAATAAATAATAGTTACATATAGTAATAAATTCTTACTTAGCATTCATTTAAAATATTTTTTTATACATAGGATTTACAAATTTTAATCCTATGTTTGAGCTTGGCAGAAGGTGAAATAACACCAAATGATTTAACTTTTGAACAGAAAAGTCTTTTGAAGGATTTAAATAAGAATAAACAAAATTACGGCGCCTTAAAAAATTGTGGTTTATCCAGATTATCTTCTTCTTCTTGTAAGCTTCTTATTATAATAAATTAATCAACATTTGTTTAATACATATACCTTTTTTCTAGTGACTACTTTAACAAACTTAAGTGAAATAGACAAAATAAAGGATGCAAATATTCACAAAGCACAAATAGAATGCTTATCAATTTTACAAATATTACTCAAAAGCTTGGAACATGGACAAGATATATGTCTGAGAATTGTATTATGTTATAGACTGGCTGTACAACTAGAAAAAAGTTATCATTTTTTATTAATACTAAATGATCCTTTTCAATTTTTACAAGAAATTGCGGAGAGTAACATTGAAAATAAATCAGAAGTATTTAATAATATAATTACTGCATACAAAATAAATGGTGATACCATTGCAACATTCTTGGCTAAACATATCACAGTAAATATTGAACGTGCTATAAAAGGTACATAGCGACATAGACAAAAAATTTTATATAAATATACTATAAATTTTTATCTATCACAGATGGTGAAGAAGATAATATTTGTCTTTGGGGTTATTCTTTAAACACAAATTTTCGTATAATTATGGAATTATGCAATGATGTCTCACTTCTTGGTTGTCAACTTTTGAAAATGGCAAACAAATTACTTAGACATTTTCATTGTGAAAAAAGTAATGATAGTACACTGAAATATAAGTATATCACCATGTTATTCATATTTGTGACATAACTTTTTTAATTTTTTTTTAGTGTCCATGTTAAAGACAATTGTAGAATTACTGATAAGATCTCATGATTGTTTTACAACTTCTTGCAATATGGAAGGAATAGCATCAATACTACGAAAATGCCAGAATCTTGCTAATATTCTGCAAAATCATAAACTGTGGACATTATTGGTATATCATTATTGTACTATTGTATCTTTATTACAAGATTAATTACTTATAATATTCGATTACTGTGTAATAGTATATTATATCAATTTAGGTGCGACTTGTAACGGGCGTCGGTCGTTTTACAGAAATGAATTACATATTTCAAATTTTAAAAGAAAATCATCAATTTGAATGTTTACTTGGAAAAGGATTGGACAAGGTTGGTAACATTCTAATGTTATAATATTAAATACAAATGTTTAATAAAATGAAGTTCGAACTGAGTTGCAGGTATCTGGATTAAAAACAGCACTTTTGGAGTTTTTAAAACGTTATTGTCCAAACAATAAGGATCTTTTCACTCTCGTAGCATCACACTTTCAATTGTACCATGAAATGGCCCTTATGTGGGAAAATGAAGCTAAAGATATAATCAATAAATTAATATTAGATGCAACAAAGGATCACAGTAAACTGCAAAATGCTGCTCAACATGAAATAAAGTTAACTAAAACAGAATATGTTTTGGAGCAACTACAGTTAGCCATTTCCAGTTTCACTCATGCAACACAACATTATTTGCAGGTACATTATAAACATTACTATATGAAAAAATAATTATATGTGTTAGCGAATTAATAATATATATTTACACAGGACAAAAAATTAAATCTTGCTACTTGGTGTTCGAATCAAGCACAATTAGTTGCTTTTCAACTTTCACTTTTTAATATAGTGTCTAATAATCAACAAGTAATCTGTATTCTTAATTTAAAATCTGAAGATGTCGATAAAATATTATGTCATACTTTAAATTTCTCTCAAGCTCTTATCGTTATACACGCGTACAATTGTCACGTGGATTGGGCTAATCTAATATATAATCATTGTATATTAAATGGAGAAACAAAATATTTAAAGGATTTTATAGCTTCAAAAACATTAACTTCTAGTCTAGTGGAAGATTGTGCGCGTAGGTATGTTAATTGTAATATAAAATATTATTTTTAAGATACATTATTAAATATAATAATATATCTACAATTCAATATATTTTAATACAGATATCGATTGGAAAAAGGCATTACTCATACAATGACCGACAATATGAAAATGTTGATATCTGAATTATCAGATGTGGAATGTAAATATATGTTAGCAAGCCAGTTGGGATTTAAAAATATTGTGGAATCAATGCTCAATAATCCTATGATTGTGGCATACCTCAAAGATACTGTTTGGAAAAAAAGTTATAATATTACCTGAATATTTCATTCTTCCATAACAACACTCTCTTTATATAGAATTTAAATAAATTGAACTTCCCAAATATACATACACATGTCAAAAAGTTTTCTTCAACAAATAAGTGTTATAAATGTGTATGTTTTCTTATTTTTACATAAATAAATATTTTTCTATATTATAATGTGTGTTTTGAGTTTACTTATAATATATTGTTCAATATTAACACATATATTATCACTATATATACATATATTTTCATTTATTTAAAAAGAAATCTAGAAATCTACCTCTTATACTTCATGCAATAGATGAAATAACTGTTTTCAAGTGAAATTATGACACACGAAAATATAAAATTAAAAAAGTACGATTGGCGTATTAAGTCAGATAAAGTAGCGGTTTCTAAATTGGATGCTTATATTAGAAAGTACGAAACAAATTTTGAAAAAATATCAAAATTTAATGACTTATCAAAAAAACAGCTAAAATTATTAAAACTGGCACGTGAATTAACAAAATCTATTGAGAAAGAGAAGGCGTACAAACAACAAGGTATAGATAGATTCATGAATTTTATGAGTCTAATTTTAGAACTATAAAATTCTTCTGTTCGTGTTACAGCATTTGAAATATTGAAAATATCAAATAACTCAATAAAGGAAACAATATTTAAGTTACAAGATTCAATGAAAATGTATAAGGAAAATGTAAACTCAGAAATCGTGAAGCTGAATAACTTGAATACAGATCGACTTTTAAAGATTAACTATATATATACATAATTAATGAATGCCACATTATTAATACTTTACTGTCAATATTCTGCAAAAAATGTCCATTCCGTTTTAATCTAAAATGTACCAAAACATAAAAGGAAGGATATATATAATATTGAATATTTTATTAATTTCGTCACATCAATCTCTAAAATTTTATAGAAGTAATATTACATTTAAGTTATAAAGTTAATTGACATTTAATTTTTTATCTTATTTCACTATAAAGCAATGTTACTTGCATTGCAATACAAATAACATTACCAAATATTTACAAAAAGTGACTTAAAATTATATAAATGGTAATTAAAGATAACATCAAATACAATGTATTGAAATACATGTATACAAAAATTATTTAATTCAATATAAACTGTCAATATAAACTGTAACTGAAACTATGTTATAAATTTAATGCATTTGGTCGACGTTTTAGGCAATTCGTGTTTACATCATACATATCAATTTTTCTCTTTACATTTTCTGTTTCTAATAACGGTTTATTTAATTCTCTCTGCAAATTTTCGGCCATATGAAAATCGCAATGTTCATTGTATTTCGATAAAACTATCATCTGATAACACTGTAAGCATTGTTTTAAAGGAACATCTGTGACATTAGATGGATCTTTTTTTATTAGGAAATTATATATACTATTACCATTTTTCTCTTTAGAAGTATTATTTTTTGATTTATTTTTTAGCTTTGAATGTTTCAATAAACTTTCTTTAGTAATGTCCTTCTTAGTCTGTGCTTTTATATATAGCTTTGCTTCTTCTTGTAGGTTCATAGGTAATAAAGCAACTACCTTAGGGTCAATATCATTTAAATTAGGAAATATTTCTTGTATTTTAATAATATTTTGTTCGTTATTAACATTATTATTCTCATGTATATGTATACTAGAGGAAGGTTGCACCATTTCAACTGCAGTACTCTGCTTTAATCGAACAGTGATACTTTCTTTATTAGAAACAATATCGCCATCTGTCTTAAAATTTTTATTTCTATCATTCATATGTGTTTCCTTTTTGGAAATATTAAAATCATTTTCAGATTCAACTTTTCCCGCATTATTTTTATTTAAATTATCATCTCCAGCATCCATATCTTTGTTCTCATTTAATTCAATTAATGCAGTTTCAGATATATACGCATCTTTCAACTTATCTTCTCTTGAATTAAAAACATTCACGAAGAAAGATTCTTTAAATTCATTCTGATTTATGGCCTCATTTAAATCTGAATTAATTATTTTGCTTTCAGAAAACGGTTTTTTCTTGCTTCGTTTATTCAATGAACTAATTAAATTACTTAATTTTCTAGAAGTAGGCGATGAATCTGTTTTTATTTTAGAAATTTGTTCATTTAATTTCACGTTAGTTTTCAAATTTTGTGTAACATTCGTTGTTCTACTATTTGATGCATTTTTCATTTCAATGGTATTATTCGTGGATTGAATACACTCGATTTTTGAAATTTCTGTTTGAGTACACGTTTTTCCTTGGTGATCCGAGTTTCCTACTTTAAAAAAGTTCCTGAAATTTTCTCTACCCTTAGCTTGTATAAATTTACCAGCCGATACTCCTAAATATGCAATTGGACATTGCGTGGATTTGGATACAATATCTACACAACAAGCTGCCATTTTTTCTGGCTTGTAGGAATTTAAAGTACATGAACGAGATTGAGATACAGTTGTTTTATTGTGATAATAGTGATAACATATCGTGAGCAATGTTGCTCGTCGTTCATTCTCCTCGCGATCTTGTTCAAGACGTTCACAAACTTCAGCTGATAATTCACCAGCCCAATGTTTTAACTGCGAACAAAACTATGACTTTCAAATTCATATATATATGCATTTCATATACTTTATTTTATATTTTATTTTTTAACTTACAACATCTAATGAAGTTATAGCTTGCCTCCCTGGAAATTTTTTACATGCACCAATTGATTTTGTCACAAGACGCATAGTAACAGGTTCATTGTCTATACCTCGTGCAATATTGTATAACCATAATCTATACAAACATATTTATTATCTTAATATTAGTTGGTAATACTAAAAAAAGAAGATATGAAACAACGTACCCTGTTTTTTCATCAAAACGTTTCTGTAAATGTTGCAATGAATATTTCAATAAGTCACCCATAACATTACAATTAAGTGATTCAACGACAACATCTCCAAATTTTCCACCAAGATTCCTAACTTTTTTAATAGGTAATGTAGAATAAAGTGTTGATACAGAAGTTGGTGGTAATATTGTTTGTCGATTTGGTTTATGCAATCCACATGCTAATTTAGCCAATATCTAAGAACATGATACACATTTCACAAATTTATTTAATATATAAAACACTATTATATTGTCTTACTTTATTTTGTGCTATGCCAGCAGAACATTTAAATCCTGTCTTTGCAAATATATCAGCTCTTAACTCTTCAACTATTATACCAGCTATAGCAAGTTTTTGAGCTTGTACATCTTCCAATTCTTCAAAAATGTTTGAAATCCATCTTTTTGTGCCTTTTAGTCCTTTTAAGATTATATAATATAATTAAATCGAATAATAATTCTGCTTTATAATAATCATTCCTTTACCTCCATCATTTTTTCCAATTTCTGAATATCCCACAACAAATGTATTATAAAGCTGTGTTATTAATACTTCTGGAATAATAGAGTTTGTAGATATTCTTTTATCAACAATGTCTGTAATATCTAAATATGCTTCGTCTACACTAGCTCGTTCTATTACATTGCAATGTTTTCTTATAACATCAATAACGTCACGACCAGCAATTCTATATCTATTTAAATGATTATAAATTTAAAAGATAAACACATTAAACACATTCAATAAAAGTTTCAGAAATTCTTTGTTAAACCTTGATGTGTCTGCTTTCCCACGAAGACATGGCACACTTGCTAAAATTAAATCTGGACATTTTTCTTTAGCTTCTTCGCCCCTCATGTGTCTTGTAATACCAAATTCTCTTGCTTCATAGTTAACTGCAATTATTCTAATATAAAATATATTAGTACTTTGCTTGTTTTCTGGCCTTAGAGAACTAAAAGTTAAATAATACAATTATAATGTATATATTGATTATAGAATTTTACCCTCCCCGCTGCCATTGATTATATTGTACAACAGCAAGTGGTTTTCCATCATATTCTGGTTGAAGTTTTGTTTCCACTTGACAGAAAAAACAATCCATATCAATCAAAACAACAATTCTATTGTCGTTTAAATTTGCCATTGTGAAATTAATCCATACTTCAACTTGAGACAGTAGGTTACAAGTATTTTTGATAATCTTCCAATTCTATTTATGTGAGTATTTTTATTTTTAATAATATTTCTACTTTTATTTTTCGAAACATCAGTTACATCCTACTAAACGGACACTGTTACAAATATAAAACTAATTCATAATGAAATAAATACATATTAGTAAACAAATAAAAACTGTAGCTCGCGGTTTTTTTAAGTGGCCACAAAATTCTGACTTGTAACTAGTTTGCCGTTCCTAAAGTTATTTTATCGCGTAAAATTAAACTATATAATAAGCAGAGACATCTTTAATCATTGCTACCACTATGTAGTAACTTCACCTATCAGCAGTGAAAGAGAAAAATTTCGCATTAACCAAATCGAAGTGTGAGAAATCGTCACAATCGATAATATAATAAATAAAAAGTAAAAATTAATTATTTTCACAAATGTTTTTTCAAATACGCTTCATTCGATTTATTATATGTTTTACACGTATCAGATGCTAAATTTAACAACATCGATTATTTTATGAATTATTGAAAATACAGTTTACAGATATCTGTCAAGTTTTGGAACACTTAAATTGCTACAAATACAACATAAACGCGTTTTTTTCGCAGTTACGTCTATCCTTTTATTTATATATAATATTCGCGACGTAAAGTAGTAATATTCTTGTGACAATGCCAAGTAAAAAGAAAAAATACAATGCTCGTTTTCCAGCCGTGAGTATCAAAATAACATATATATTTTGGAAAGAGTGTTTCTACAAAAACAATAAAGTTTTACGTACATAACGCGAATATCATTTTAATAAATACAATGCTACAATTAATAAGAAATCTTATTTATATTGTGAAGACATAAAAAAGCATAAACAAATACTTATGTAAAAACTGTCGAACATACGTAGCTAACCTGTATCTGTATTCCTTCAATAGGGACGAATCAAGAAAATTATGCAAACTGACGAAGAAGTTGGAAAAGTTGCACAAGCTGTTCCAATTATAATCTATATCCTTTTTCAATTAATATGGAAAATATATTTTTAATTTATACATTTTCAAAATTGAATATCTCATATATTTACTTGATTCAATAATATTATCCTTTTCAGCTGTAAATTCCTTAATTTTTTATATATACCTAGAACATTAGAATTGTTTGTACATTCGTTACTTACAAAAACTATGCAAATTACTAGTGCCAAGAATGCCAAAACTTTGAGTCCATCTCATATGTGAGTATAAGAATATAAGAAACTTTAATGATATCATTGTAATTGAGTATTTATCGTTAACTCTCTCTTTATATTTATGTATAGGAAACAATGCATCTTATCAGAAAGTCGTTTTGATTTTTTAAAAGATCTAGTGAAATCGTTGCCAGATATTTCAGGACCTGATGACGAAGTGCCTACACCACCATTAACACCTGCTCCAATAACTTCAACAACATCAGTTTCTACTTCTGTATTAAGACATTCTGATGGAGGGTAAGTGTTAATTAAAGTGAAGGTTATTTGAAATTCTAAATGCTTTGTCATATTTTTATAGACTTCAAAAGCAACAAATGGGCTTAACTGCTGAAGTAAATGTTGAACAAAAATATTCAAATGATAATGGAGGAACAGGAATATATAATTCAGGTGCTGTTAACCAAATGATTACAAATACATCTGTTTCTCAGGTTCCAGAATTTCAGGTATCCATGCCTACTTCATATCAAATTAGTCAACCAAATTTTTATACAGAAGTTAATCCTATGAATTTGAGTACAAACACATCTGGTGTCAGTGCGAGCAATCAGCCAACATCTAATTTTGCTCATACTGCCAATCTTGATGAAGATTATGATACATAGTTATTTTTTAATCGTGTTAGGGACATGAATTCGTATATCATTCAAATGTAAAACAGTTGTACATGCAATTGCTCGATAAAAATGATGAATTGTCGTTCAGATTATTCTCAATACATTAGAATATGTAATTTACATTAATTAAACAATCTTATTATATGTAAATGCTTAGACACATGTAAATTTTTATATTTTTATATCTGTTCTCTCAACGATTATACAGACGTGTTGTTCAAATTAGTTCAGGAATAGTATATTTCATAATTTTTATTATTTTGTACTGCTGTGCTTGATTTATAAGTGCTCATATTCCTAGTACTTTACTTTGATGTATACACATATATAGTAGGCATGAATGTAATGACTCAAATAATTATTATATTCTCCAAAACATACTTTTGTTAGTGTTACTCTATAGGCGAGTATAATTTCTAACACGATTAGTATTCATATAGTTGCGCAGGTACATATGCAGGTACAAATACTTTTAATTATTAAGAGTATAATTAGCTTTACGTTTTGTAATTGACAAAATTGTTTAATGTACCTTACTTAGTTGATACATACATTAAAATATTTATCATTTGCAATACAAGATATATATGTGTATGTATATGTATATGTATATGTTATGTACACATACGTACAGCAATAAGCAAAACTGAACACACTTTACAGATTCTTTCAAACATTTTAATATATTTCAAAATTACAACATTGTAACATGGATATTTAAACAATCCATGAAAATCACTTTTTATAAAGTTTATTAAGGTACTTGACGGTTTTTTTATGTTTTTTCTATGTTCGATTTTTACAGATATCAGAGTACTCGGTTTCGCACCCTATAACTGTTGAGACTTAACATTTTATCCAGTGATCTTTCGTCTTTAATATTGCATACATTCTTTGAGGCATATTTCCTACTAATCTTTTGTTGTAATTCTGACTAATTTTATTTTCATATATTCCACTGACTAATAGTCCAATTCTTATACTTTTTGCGAATACTAATTGTGCTTTAACATTCTGGATAGTAGTCTTGATGCTTTAGCATTCTGCTTAAATAGTGTGAGCTTTTAATTCTCTTATCACTATCCACTTATTAATTGACTTTCCTGTATTCTCTTTTACTATATTTGTGACCATAGATGTGTATAAAGTTTCAGCAGTTTGAATATATCTGCCCAACAATCTTCCCTCCTGTGGTGTTAGCAATTTCGGTCGACCTCCAAATGATGTTGGTGCATTGGTATAATATTTTTTCCATATTTTTTAAACTCGAGACTGACTTACATTACACTCCTTTGCAATTTTTCTTGTGGAAAACGCAGAACTTAATTTTGAAATTATTTTATTCTTTATTTCTTTCAATGCCTCTTTCATTTACACTGCCAATATTGTGAGAAAGCATCTTTACAAAGATTAACACTACTTAAAAATAATTTCTTTTATAATGATAACTTTCTGTATCATTTAAATATTCGTAAGCAACTGAGCTTACAGACAGTGCAAAAGTGATTCCAACACATTCATGGTTTGCAAGAATATAAGAAATAAAAACAAATATTGTAAGACTAAGAGAGATAGCTTATGGTGTTGATTTCTATATAACACCGCATTGGTTACAATTCAATGTTGTATTTTTGACTCAACATAAATATAGTAGAAGATTTTACAAAGTGTGTTTAGTTTTGCTCATCACTGTATATATACATATATATATATACAAGAAATATATATATATATATATATATATATATATATACAAGAAATATATATAAAGATGAGCTTTATAGCTAAAATTTTTTTACGTCTATGTACATGTACCAGTATACAATTTTTATAAAGGAAAAGTTAGCACATAATAAGTCATTTTATATATGTTAACACTTGGTAGAGTGTTGAGAGGTTTAAAAAATTAACATTGTCAAATGTTTCTCACTGCAAGATTATATACATTACATTTTCTGTATTATATAACTCTTTAAAAAATATGTTTTAAATTTCGTCAAATATTTTATAACAAATATAAAGTTTAGAATTTTATGTTACAAATAGATAATTACCAGCTTTTTTTCTATAAAAAATACTTAAAGTTCGACATTGTAAAAAACATCTACAGTAAAAACGAATTATTAAATTTTATAAAACAAATTGTAATATAAGTTTCATTTACACGAACTATGGATAACAATTACGTGATCGTATCATAGTGTATTTGCAATAAGGATTAGTCAAAGAATAAGCAATGCTTATGTGAAGATATGTTAGTAACATTGGTATGCAGAATAATGTGCACGTTGTATGTACACTTATAGCACTAATTTTTTTGTTTTATAAATAACTTATTGTAAAAAATAATTTAAATTTGATAGATGGAATACTTAGAAATTATATACAATTCATTTAAGTATTGATTATTGTATTTTTAAATAAAACAGGACTAGTTTAATATTAATTAAAAACAAAATCAAATTACACGCATTTTTATATATTTAAAAATCTATACCAAGTGTGTTAAGAGTATAAATTTTAATAAGAGGAAGTTTTCAATTAATTTTTTATGAATATGTTAAACTGCCAAAAAGCAAAAAGATATTTCAATAAAGAGTCAAACAAAAATAACTTTTACTTCTTTGTGAATCTAGATTAGTATTATACTTTCATTTATCTGTTCATTAGCGGTATTTATGTTTATTTTATGTAAATATTATAAGACTGACAGAAGACTTCCTCCTTTAAAATCGTTACATATATTTATATTATACATTTGTAAATAAATATTAATAGATCTATTGTAATAAGTTTGTTAGTTCATAATATAATTATGACATGACTGGTGTACATAAATAATATTCAAATACTGAAATGCCTTTTACAAAAAGAATTGATGCCTTAAAAGCAATAAAAAGACAATAGATTTAAACATATTTTTAATGAAATTTTCCTATACATAAATATACAGTACGCGAAATATAAGATACCAACAATGATTCACAATGCTAATGACTGCCCCTCTTTTCCAAAGCTGAAAATTTGAATTTTTTTTCAAAATTAGTTTTCTTAAAAATTGAGGATGATAAAGAAAAACGGATTGCATATTCGAATTCAGCATGACAAATACTGTTAAGATAACCCATTAAACCTTCCAACAAAAAACAAATTTAAATTTTGTAGACCAGTGTAGTTGACTAATATTCATAACTATATAATTGTAGCAGCCAACATATATGTGTACAATAGAAAAATAAAATAACTTATTTTTCATTTCAATATTAATTTAAATGAAATATTTTCCTATAAATATAAAAGTATTTATATATAAAAATATGTATAATATATATGTATATAT